TTAATGAAAAAATGTGAGAACATGAATCGATAAAATCCCTGAAATGTTTGCTTAATGCAAAACAAATTTTTAATAAAAATCAGGCCACCTGGAACCTTTTCAATCTAAGCCAATCGCGCATTACACCATAAAAGAATTATTCATCGATACCCTAAATTACCAAATAAGATATTTTGTTATCAATATTTTACGATATTAATTCAGAAATATTGTGATATAAAGAATATTTTTAAATTAATCTGTCAGCTAAAAATCTGTGTACCTACCATTTTTGGATCCAAGCCAAAGAGGAGGAATTTGATAGATCCGATCCCGATGTAATTTATTTCCTAGCTAACACAAGTTTTAAAAATAACAGGAGCTACATTTTCCTCATAAAATAATTGCATCTATTCTTTAAACTAATAGATTCCAATAACGAACAGTAATCAAGCTAAAAACAACATTCATCTAAACAATACAGATTGTAAGGAGAACTTACACGGACCTCTGAAAACAGCTCTAGGTGGGAGCAGGTGCCCTTTGTCATGATCGGGTAAATAGGAAAACGTGTGAAAATAATGGCCTAACATAACAGCAGAATGTGTTTGCAAACAATGTCATTACATATGTATATCGACCATAGAATTTGCTAAATATTGACTTTTAACGATATTGTTGATGTCATTTGATCATCAACATGATCAACTTGTTTTTCAATAATCTGTCTCGATTTAGAAATTGTTGGTACGTTGAACATGCTCTTGCGTATCGCAACATTGGGAGACATAACTCCATATGAAGGTGAAAATGGTATATTGCTTATATAGATAAGTTAAGGACATACGCAACGTACCTTACCTACTGATAATTTTTCAAGATATTCTTAATTTAAGATTAAAGTGCCATCAGAAGTTCGTAGAGAAAAAAAACAGCATGCATTACCAGGGGTTTTGAAAAGATATCAAATGAGGAAAATTCTTGTATAATTCAAAGAAAAATATACAAAAATTACTAAACATATATTTTAGATGTTTTGTTCATCCAAACTTGTTCTAGAAGAAGTGCACAACAGCATATATAGACAATAAAATGTAGCACACAATTCCTTTAAGTATTGGAACTCTTCAGCTCCAGGGAAAAAGACAATAAAGTTCAAACTACGTTGCGTATGTCCTTAAGTTGAATATAGAAAAGTTAAAGTCATCACGTTTATCATAAATTTTAGTTGTTAGTTTGCCATCAATATCTTTCTCCAATAGAATATCAAAATATAAAACAGATGTGTCAGACTCCGTAGTGTCTTTTACTTCGAGTTCAATGGGATATACTGAATCAACGTAGGTATAAAAATGAATACTGTTAATTGATAAAACGTTAATTGTTGATTTATTTAAATGTTGAATTGAAGGCTACAGCAAGAGATTTCTTTTTGAACAGGTAGAAGATTTTGAATAAATTCTGCTTCATACAAAACATACAAAAACAGGTCTGCTAATAACGGGACATTGTAAGTACCCATCGAAATCCCAGCTGATTGTTGGAAGACCTTGTCTCCAAAAGCTACATTGATATTGTCAGTGAGAACCTCAATTATCTTTTAAAAGTAACCCTCATGGTACTTTCATGATATTATATTGGAGAAAGATATCGATGGCAAACTTTTGATGATAATTATGCATAAAACTTGAAAGTAAGATTCAATTAACAATAGTTATTTCCATTCATATGTCGACATGATATATCCCAGTGAGTTTGAAATAAAAGATACCACAGAGTCTGATGCATCTGTTTCATATTTTGTGTATTTTACTAGAAAAAGACGTTAATGGTAATCTAACAACAAAGCTTTATGATAAACGTGATGACTTTTCAATCGTCAACTTCTCTTACTTATGCAGCAATATATATACCATTATCACGTGCATATGGAGTGAACTTCTCTCAGCTGATTCGATACGCAAGAGCATGCTCTATGAACAATTTCTAAAACAAGGTACCGTAAGTTGTTGACAAACAAGTTGATGAAACAAGAATATAAACAGTCTCGTTTAAAGTCATCATTTCGTAACATTTATGGTCCATACAATGACCTTATCAGCAAATACAATCTATCATTTAGTCATATTTTGACTGATGTTTTTCATACTAATTGTTAGACCATTATTTACATACTGAATTGTCGACGGAGGTTTTCGCTATTTACTGATCTGACAAGAAGCACACGGCGAGTGTGACCGGTCGGCAGGGGATGCTCACTCCTCCATGGCACCTGATCCCACCTCTCGTGTTTGGAAGGTCCGTGTTTGCTCTGCTCCCGATTTGTATTGTTTTAATGGACTTTGAGCTTGAATACTGTTCGTTATCTCCATATGTCATAAATCGGTAATTTACAGACATTTTACGTCCTTAGTGTTGCGCCCACAGCTATTTTTTAAAAAAGATTTTCAAGATTCGTTAACCATAAAATATATACATATGCATATATAATATACATTATTTATAAAGATATTTTATTGAAATTTCGAAGTAGCATTTAGAAAAAACGTGATTATGAAGCATGCCAATTTTTAACCTTATAAGATTAGGGAAACAGAAGATATTGGAAAATGTTTACATTTTTTTGAGACACCCCTCGTATATATTGCTCACTTAAGGTCGACAGGGTTGATATTAAAGAGAATTTTCTTGATAGATATTCTTTTCTCTATTACCAATAATTATTTCATCTTAAATAACATAGAGACATGTACAAAATTACTGACCTCAATTTCAATGATTGAGGGTTTAATTTTTGATGATATTTTACCAATTGCTTGCTTTGTGTAGATCTGGTACGACAAACATGTTGGATTTTGATTTTCTAATCAATCATAGAAATGAAAATTAATTATAAGACGTTTATATTGGATTTAATCACCTGATGTACTGTTTTGCACCAAAGACACGTTTTATTCATAAATGATGCGAAATTGATTTAGTAGTATTTATGTCGAATGTAGCAGCCAAACTGAATCTTACTTTCAAGTTTTATGCATAATTACCGTCAAAAAGTGATTATAATTTTGGCTTTAAAACAATTTAAGCGTTGCATTAAAACACAATGTGTGATCTTCTTTCCAAACTTAGTGGCAGATTGTAAGAACATGCAGAAAAACATTTTTATTTTTCGATTTTAATGAAAACTTCCCTTTGCACGACCTCATTTATTTTACAAGAAGAGAATTAACCTTTTGAATTTAAAAATAAGAATGACAAAATCACAAACCATAAGGATTGACATATCCTTTTAGGTTATAATTGTTGAATTTTTTTTCTTCATTGTTGATTCTTGGACAATGTATCTCAATTTAACATTGTGCAATTTAATTAAAAGGTTTCTTTTTTCATATATCATTTTAGCACTTTTGTTTTACTTTAAAAATAATTTTAATCTTTGCACATGCATATCAATAAAAAATTATTTTTCGATAAATTGTGACATGATTGCAATTGACATCCCATAATGGATTTTTTTTCAATAAAAAAGGAAAAATATAATCATCTCACATTAATGTAATGTCTAATCCTTTACAAAATTTATCACATACTCATCAAAACAAATTGAAAAACACAACAGAAAGGTTCTTCGTCATGTTTTTGTTGATTTAATAGTTAACCCATTGTTCACACTCTTTTTCCTAATCAAATTTGAAAAAAAAAACTTGAACTGTTTTGGGATATTTTTTATTACCAATAAACCTATGTTTGTTGCACCAATGCTTAATAAGTATAGATCTACATGTATCAGTAAAAGAAAACATGTTAAAAAAGTTTCCATATTTCCTACGTTTATGCTTCAGTCCAAAGCAGACACGACTGATGGACTGTTCTCTTTAGTCATCGCACAAATTCAAAACCTTTAAACACCTCAGACTAGTGTGTTCTTTGAAGTATCGGTCTTTCAGATTTGTAATGGATGAAAAGATCCCATCATCGGCTGTTAATTTCCACCCATGTCACGAAATAGCTGCTGTTAAAAGATAGAAGGGACATCATTTGGAGAATTATCGTGTTTGTTTACCCTAATCCTCCGGACAAATAGTCCTGCCCTATGCAACAGGTTTCACCAGTCCACGCAACGTTGGAACTCTATGTGTGACGCCCCGTCTACGCTGAAAGTTACATGATAGTATGGTATACCACAAGTGTCAGAATTGTGTTTGTTGATTTATTTTTAACGCAAAAGGACTATTTCAATACAATCTTACATTACTATGCAAAAAACATAGACATTTTTTTCGATTAAGTTTTATTATGATTTCAGAGGTAAGACCATCGAATCTGCGAGTTTATTTATGATAAACTTAATCATTAATTTAATTTGAGATTAAATAGAGAGAAGAGGAAAGTTCTGAAGAGATGTATAACTAAAAATATGAAACAGACTGAAATCCCCTTCTTTAACGCTGAAATAAGTATATCTTACTTTTTTCCGTAAAATTAAGTCTTATATTTGAGTGTTTTTCTTTCTTCTGAATTTAGCAGACTTATAGTTTAAATTTACTGTTCAATACTGATTTCTCTGATGTAATCAAAATAATCTTAAGAAAAACAAATATCCAAAATATCAGGGGAAAACCTGGATAGTTATATGGTAAAATAGAAAAAAAAAATAGCATTCAAAAAAAGAGATTTAAAAAGATAATCAATTTAACTGTCATGGTTTGCTTAAACTCAGGCTGTAATCTCATTACCTTTAATCAATCATATAGTACATAGATGTAAATAATAAATAACTATTCTGAATTTTTTGACACCGCCAGCAACCCTTACACCCACTGTCCGAAGAGCTTTCTACTTGGCACATGGCACAAGACATTTGCACCCTTTTAAGGTTATCTAAGACTGAGATAACATTAGGTGGGGTGTCTTGTCTTTGATAGCTAAATCACAGTAGGTACTCGTACTGTATATAAACCCTTAATCACTTTCCTTTCTTCTCTCTGTGCCTCCTACATCGGACATCTAACAATTCAAACATGGAGCAGGGCCTACGAGTGGTGGTTTTTGCAGCTGTTGTTGGTATGTGTCTTAATCTTCTTGCAGATTATTCGAACATATTCAGATTATTAACATAATGTTTGTTTAAAAAGAAAACGAACACAATGATTGTTTTTTTTCAAGTTGATTAATATCAATACCATTTTTTTTGTTGTAAAAAACGTGAGGGAAAAATGCAAAGCATAATACTTAGTATCAAATTTTGTAGCTTCCTCCAGTGGATGTCATGTTTGTTAATTTTTTTATATCAACGCATAAGCATGCTAACATGGAAGACATACATAGAACTCATAATACTTTGCTTAGTAAAATCAATAGCATGTAAAAGATTACACTTGCTTTTATTTCTATGCGCACTATATTTGTGTATATTTAAGGTTTTTTTAATTATTATTTTGTGGCTTAAAGAACTTATCGCATGATTTTTCAAAAATCTTAATTTTATGAAAAATATTATCTACAACCTTGTTTATTAAAATTCTGAATACAATAAACGTTGTTGAAAGCGTATTTTAAGAGATATTGAGAGTTGAAATTCAAATACGGCAATATGCATATTTCAGTCGGATTTCGGCGAAATACTGCTCTGACGTCATAGGCGACGCTTTTCATTTAAATAATTTAGAAACATGCGATAAGTCCTTTAATGCAGCCGACGGCAACGTAAAAGAGATCTATCTATTAAACCCAGGTCAAAGACTCGAGGATGAAAAAATCAGAATTCATTGGATCGATTTAAATAAAAACCATGGGATATTCTTTATCCATGTGTATACTTCATTATATGGGAAAGAACTGTTGCCGTTCTATGAGATGGTTGATTTCTGATCTGCAGAAGCGTGATTCAATTTAATATGCTAAGAATTCTCACACAATGAAATTTTCAACGGTTAAAAATAAAAACATGTAAATACCTTTTAAAAGTTTAAAGTATTTCAATTAGTTTTACTGGATACATTCTACAATACAGATGTGATATATTTCTTTCTGAAGCAGTCTATTCATATATTAAAAACAACTTTGAAAGTTTCTATTAATATATTAAAACAATTCTGAAAGATATTGAATTACACTTGCGATATATAACCTTATATTATTCAGGAAATATAGGGAAAGCTGGATAAAGGATACTTGCAAATATTTGTAAGGTTTCGTTCATGATGAATAAAGTATAGAAGTCTGAAAAGATAATGACAATACTCAAAGAAGAACAGACACATGTATATTGAATTGAGTCAAATCAAGCAAGTTAGAATGTTAGAATGGGCCGAACATGCACATTTATATGAAGGTGTCAAACTTATATTTAAGTTTCCTTTAAATTTATAGTGGCTACCTTGGCTGTTGACTGCAGCACGCTTCCTGACGGTGTCTACGAGGCAGGATGTAGGTCCTTTGCCAGATGTACAGGGGCCGAGGTTACCATTGTTGACTGTGACAAAGGAAACGTCTTTAACAATGCAACCGGAAGTTGTGACGAGTAAGTAATATGTATAATGTAGTGTTTCTCTCTCTCTCTCTCCCTCTCTGAACAAGGATGGAAAGTAAAATGTCATAGTTATTTAAAACATTTTTCAGTCCTCATAACGTTCCACCTCCCTGTGGCGTCATGAGGGATTGCTCCAACAAGAAGGATGGGAAATATGCAGATATGGATCAACATTGCGCCAGTTATTATACCTGCTTCACTGGAAAATTCCTAGGACATAACCCATGTCCAGCAAGTAAGAGCTTTTGTATCTTCGTATATATGAAAAAGAATCCATTGGTTGTATTCTACAATTCATCTTATATCGTTCAAAATCATTTGTACAGAAACTACTGTAAGTTTTTCATCATTACACGTGTACTTACCACTGCTAAAAACTAATGGGTTTTGGAAACATAAATATTCTTTACTAAAAAGTGAATGATACAAACTCATATGGTGAAATTAATTGTCGTAAACCCATCGTATGATTTTTTTTTTTTCTCAATCATTATTTAGCATAAATTATGACATAATATAATGAAATATGTGATATATTGTATCCTTCCGCAGATTTGGTCTTTAATGAAGATTTACAAACTTGTGATTGGAAAGAAAATGTAAAACCACCTTGTGGATCCAAAACATCATAAATAACTACTAGGATTTTTAAAAGGAAATTTCATTCTATATCATTCTTATTAATGAATGAACAAAAAGTTTACGAGGAGGATTGGACAATTTTTCATACGTACTGTATTTTTCACACTTCTCATGTGAAAACTTGATCATGTTCTCTAGAAAAAAATGTTTTACTTTATTTTGCGACTGTCTATAATATATTAGCTATATTTGCTTCATGGACTACATTGTTTGTTATTAAGGAGGAGTTCTCATATTTATTGTATTTAAAAATTAATGAAATTTTCACAGATTCAATAAAACATCACTAAATGATGGTATCGGATGGATTAAAATTGACACCGTTTATTTTAGGATCAAGGTCATTATCTTTTTGCTTGACGTTAATATTAAAAATTTTGCAAATCATGTGATGCCTACTTCCATATATTTCGTTTTTCTTTGCGCTTAAAAGATGATATCACTTAGGTTCTATCAGATGATAATACAAAATTGAGATACATATTGTATCTAAAATAATAGATATTTGCTCTATTTTTTCTTTAATTTGTTAGAAACATTGGCTATTTTTATATGCTTCATATATTCCATGTTTTCTTATTTTACACATGGTGAAGTAGTCAAATAAATAAAAAAAAAAAAACAAGAAAAATACTTTTTGCTTATTCTTTGCTCATATTGTTAGGTTCGAACTCGAAATTACTCAGAACAGGCTTACAACTTAAATCTAAAAGATATATGGAAAAAATACACTTATACAAGGATACTTACTCCCTCTCCAACCCGGTATTGACCTCTCGATCTGCGGAAGGGGTTTCCTAGCAGTACAGGCACAGCGCGCTAGACATCCAACTGGGCAAGTCAAAAACAATTTTCCCCCAGAAGAAATAAAAATCTTTTAAGTGTTTTAATTTTTTTTTATTATTTATTTGTTTATTTTTATATGTATACAAATTTCTCCAAAGGAACTCCCTACAGATACCATACACAGTGATTTAGCATGCTCTTCCAGGGTCAAACGCCGCATCTGAATATTTTTAAATTCGTAAAAACATCTGAGTTTTTAATTAGTAAAACATCTGAGTTTTTAATAAGTACAAACATAAAGAACGCAAACACAAAGAAAAAAATATAAATTTATGAGCGCGTGGTCCAACCTAGTCGGTATCATGCATTGATCAACCTTGAACCTAATTAACATGGGGATGTTTGCATATCACTATGACTAATCATCGCCCTGTGTTCTTGAGAAGATTTAATTTTAGAGGGGGTTTCTTATAAATACCCCCCCCCCCGAAAATAATCCTGTTAAAGCTAAAAAGCTCTTTTAGCGCAAGTAAGCTTTTTTCACCATTTCTTTTCCTTATGCTTTGATTTGTCCCGAGTCATTTAAAAATACTGGCATATAGTACATGGCCATTGTTAAAAGAAAATTGTCTACAGATTTTATAAATCATACTTATATAAATTTTAGCTAATATCACACCACAGGCCACGTGCTCACGTGGCGACAAATATTGCTATTTGTTTTGTCAGTTATTACTGCCACAGAATGATCGAAATAGCCTTGTAGCTGACTCCAGCAGACGATAATCCTATGAATTTGTTTATGTTTTCTTCAACAAATTTTCTGCATTTATGTAATAATACAGATTCCATTCCCAGGAAAAGGCTAATGAATTCACTGATACGAAAGTGCAACACGATTTCCTCGCTGATGGACACAGTAGGCACTAGTTAGAATAATCTAACTGTGTCTCGGAAGAAGCCCTCACCACAGTTAGAATACGTCCCATATACTTGCAATGTAGCAAATCGGAGTGGATCCACTCCAAAATGATTTTTGAAGAGTACAAAAGGAGTTGCACTGAAAATAACTACCAAATTAATCATAACAAACCTTTTTGAGATGGTATATGTCTTTTAACCTAAGAAATAATCCATATAAATATGAAAATTCAACTCATTTTCTCAACATTTTTTCCTCGCTTCAAATTTAACGCCATGTTGACATTTGGAACTCTCTGGATTGTTCATAGAAAATGCACAGAGTACGAGTTATCGCCCGTGTTTATTTTGCAACATTGCGAATACACAGAACAAATTCTATCGTTAAACCGGGTCCATAGGACAATATCATTTTAACGATAGAACGTTCTATCTAAGTAGGCACTATTTCACTTTATTTATCATGGTACATGTATTTGATCTTGCAGTTACTGTACAAATGTACATTTTTGCCCGCAAAAATAGTGACATGCTTGCTGAAATGGCATCTTTTTACTTATCTTATTTTAATACCATACTTAATTCCGGCCGATTATTATCAATGACTTGCTGTGAAACCACAATTTTTTTATGGGGGTTCAATTATTGTGCTTTCATGGTATAAAGAGACCATGTATGTCTATCATCCATAAAAATATGTTACCTTGAGTATTTTTCCACAAATCACGAAAATTGGACACAACAAAACAAGTGATGTTACTGTATGTCTGTCCATCACATACACTGTTTGGTTTGTTGATTGATTTACGTTCCTTCGAGAATTTTTTGGACATTTTGGGACGCCAAGCGTTTGCCATGCGAGATCGTATGAGCGTATCTATAGTGGCGAGTTTTGAGGGGAGGGGGTTACGGGGTTGTAACCCACTCTTTAGATTTGCTAACATATGGGAAATTCCTTCTGGCCATGTACGTCTTTCCTATAAACAATTCAAGCGTTCTTGCTGTATGATACGAGGTTAAAAAATATAAAAGGGTTCCTTTCACCGAAAATCTTATTCCGAACTGTAAAATGACTGTTATTTTACACATTGAGCGCAGGATTGATAATTTATTTTAAATAAGATTAGCTTGTCTCCAAATCATGCACTGCTGTGTGATTCTTTCTATTTTTGCTCCTGTCATATAAATAAAGTCTGCGGGCATTTTTTTTTTTTTTTTTTTGGTCTTCTCAAGAAAATCCAAATTTCTAAGATGTTCGTCCCCCGGTCCTTTTCTTAACAAATTCTTCCTTCAGACTAAGAATTGAATGCTTGTTTCAAATGTTTTACAAATTTTATCTCTATGATGTTACATGGCTTGAGGAGGGCGCTATGCGCGACAATCAACCTTGTGACAATTTTAAGGACACATTTTACATGGCTCTCTTTTTTTGTTGATTGGTTCTACTGCTTAATTGAATGATTGTAATTTTCCCAGAAGCATGGCTAAGGCCTTTATGTTCTAATTCGTTCACACTCAACCGAACATAAATAATTTATACCATAAATAAACACAGTGTGTAGGTACAGAAGCGCTCTCAAGAGTGCAGTTTATTTCTCAATATCATACAAAAAAAAATATATTCTTCTGTAAATCGAAATTCTGTAAAGTCCATTCTCTGTAATAACGAGAAAAAAGATAAAATGAGCATACAGTCATATAGAATACTGTGAGTGTGGGTGGGTGGGTGGGTGCCACGTCTAAACTGCACGAAGAGAGAGCCTTCGAATGGGGTTTACTTGTTAAACTGGTGAGAAGGCGTGTCATATCTAGATAAACCTGTTTAACAGGTTCTATTTCTAAAATAGCTAACCAATGAAAATTGGTTTCCGGTATAAATATCAATAAACAAACACGTGTTCGATCGACACACGTGTTACTATAACTGTAATAAATACATGTTCCAAGGTGAACATTTACTCAAATTAAACTGATGGCCCAACGGTTAATCATTTAACACTATTCATTCAAAAACGTTAAGTGGTTAGTAAAGTAGAACCATGCAACAAGTAAGGGTTACATGTAGGTTTATTAACAGTACGCATTTGAATAAAGCACCAAACGAACATTTGTATACAATGAGAAAATATGACATACCGGGTAATGCGTAATGCGTTCATATAATGAGGCAAATGCATTTTGGCTAACATTCAAGGCAACGACACGATGTCTGAACAGGACAAAACTTTAAATTATAAAAATATAAAATTTAAGTAAACTGAATGCATACAAGGGAAAGGGATAGTGAATATCAAAACCTAATTACATACTTGGTCAAATAAAGAATATTTTATAGACCTCCTCTCTGCAGGTGAATAATTTAGGGCATCAGCAGCACATTTCCTTTTAATATAGCGATACAACAAATAATATCCAACTGGGATTTCAAGCTGACATATCATCTTCTTTGCATGTTAGTAAACATATAAGCATTGTTCCTCAAACATATAAAAATTCTTCTTCATTAAATACGCAAACAAACAACGCAATAATGTAACTGTGAATTTGGAAGCAGTATTTTCTGTGTGTGAAGTTATCGCCCTTATAATTTTAAATTACATTCATTTTTTGCATAGATAAACAATTCTAATAAATTCATTTTAAAGTAAAAAGATCAAGAATAAATATTTTATAATTTCTCTTAAAATAACGATAAGAATTTTATCTCTGTTATAGAATAAGTATTTTCCCCATTATTTTTTATTGTAAATAAACTATTAAACATCTTTGTATTAGGTATATATAAAATTTATTTCACAAAGTCAAGTAAAGAGTAACTGAGTCAAACAAGAAGTAAATAAAGAGAGAGAGAGGGGGGGGGAGAGAAGAAGTGTGTGGGGGGAGGAGAGTGTGTGAGTGGGGGAGAGTGTTGGAGAGAGAGTGTGGAGAGAGAGTGCGGAGAGGGGGAAACACAAAGTGAGGGAGAGGAAAGAAAGTGGGGAGGGTGAAAGAGAATGGGGAGGATGATGGTGAGAAAGTAAGTGGGGAGAGAGAGAGTGGTAAGAATGTGACTGGGGAGAGAGCGAGGGAGAGGAAAGAGAGTCGGGCGGAGATAGCAAGAGAGACAGAGAAAGTGAGGGAGGGGAGGTGAGGGAGAGGGGAGGTGAGAATCAAGTGGGGAGGGATGTTGGAGAGAGTAGGGAATAAGGGGATCTTTTGTATCTTTGATGTTGTAAACTTTGCTTCTCCGGCATGGGTACTTCAAAATTTACTCTTATTTTGACCCGCTTGATATCATACATGTACTTGTATATTTCGTCTACTTGTATAAAACAAGATATTTAACTTAAATGTGTTGCAAGTTGCCAATGAGTTCGTTACATGTTTCCCAGTATCTACATGTATATTCACAAGTCTACAAAAGTAAAGTCTACAAGTTTGTCGAGTTTTGATAATGAGAAATTATGAAAAGATAATAGTGCCGCAGTTTTTTTTTAAATGTTTTTTTCTCTAATTTCTTGTTTTTCAAATTTTATTTTTATTTCTTGTTTCAATTCTAACTTTAAGTTTAAATTTTCCAATTTTATATCATGTTCTTAATGTCATTTTATTTAACGATTAGCGGGTTCCAGTAAAAGTTCTACCAAGCCTCTTTCTTTACTCCTCACTAAAAATATTAACAGCAGTGAAGGAAAAACTTCAGGAGTATTGTGCTACAACATATTCGAGAAGTTGTGTAAATCAGATGTGGATACTTACATGTAAAAACTCCAAGGAATTTTTGGAAAATTTAAAATCACAAAATTTTACCTAAATCAATAATATGAAAACTTAATACTTTTCAACTCT